TTCCCCCCCCCCCCCCCCCCACGCCTCCACACCGTGTCTGGCCAGTCGCATTGAGCATAGAACTTCCTCCCAGAACTGGCCAGACTTGCCCCTGCCCTGCACACCCTTCTGTAAATATCACAGCTAAGCAGCTAATCCTTTGGGTTTAGGCAGGTGGCTGGGTCATTCCATTCAGCTGCCTGTAGGGAATTTCGTGGGGGCGAGGAAGCTGGCTTCAGCTGCCTTTGACACAGCTCTCCTTTGGAAGGAAGGAGGCCGGCAGAGTGGACTCTTCAAGAGCTTTATCTTTCTCCCCTTAAAAGCTCAGGGCTGTGAGACAGATTGAATGTCGCATCTGCTCCGCCCTGTGGCGCCAGCCTGGGAGGCCAAGGGATACAGGCCCCAGGATTCTTGGGATCCCTTTATGCCATGGGAGTTCTAACGTCCTTAGCATGCCTGGTTTAATTTACGATTACAGGCATACTGGCTAGCCACCAGAAAAAAACCACACACACACACACAAGACATTTTTAGTTACAGCTAGTGTATTTTTTTTTAATTGAAATAAAAAATACATACATAAGAGTACACATCATACCTGTAAAGCTTGATGAATGTTTCCAGACAAGACACGCCTCTGTGACCTGTACCAAAGTCAAGAACTAGATGCCCGGAGCGCCCTCACAGCTTTCCTTCTGTGTCAGGTCTCTTGCTTGCAGCATGAGGTGGATTTTCTTTCATCTTGTCCTGGCACAGCCTTGGTTGTTGGGTGCCCGGGAAGTCTAAATTTGGTGAGCAAGCCCCTGTGCATCCCACCCATGTGCTTTGTGGCTCTCCAAGAGAATTGACCCCGAGGCCTGATGCCCTGGTCCAGCTGAGGTGTTTGACCATGTACATGGGGGTCCAGAGGCTGCGTGTTTATTTAGCTCTGCCCCCAGGGCCCTCGGCCTGTGGAGGTTCTGTGGGGTCACCCTGTCGCGGGTGGTGAGTGCCAGTGTACACATTGTCTTGGCCACGGCGTGGCGCTTCTGGCCTGGGTTCTGGGGGGAGAGGATATGTGTTCAGGGTCAAGTCTGCCGAGGGAGGCTGCTCCCAGGGAGGCCCTCGGGGAAGTTCGGGAAGGCACAGGTGGCTGCTCAGTGGGGTGAGCTGACCGTGCCCCTGTCGTGCGTCCCGCAGGTGGGTCCGACGGCTCCCGGCTCTACGACTGTGTGTGGAGGTACAACTCAAGCGTGAACGAGTGGACAGAGGTGGCGCCCATGCTGAAGGCCCGCGAGTACCACAGCTCCTCTGTGCTGGACGGGCTGCTGTACGTGGTGGCCGCCGACAGCACGGAGCGCTACGACCACACCAGCGACTCCTGGGAGGCCCTGCGGCCCATGACCTACCCCATGGACAACTGCTCCACCACCGCCTGCCGCGGCCGGCTCTATGCCATCGGCTCGCTGGCCGGCAAGGAGACCATGGTGATGCAGTGCTACCACCCGGACAGTGACCTGTGGTCGCTGGTGGACTGCGGCCAGCTCCCACCCTGGTCCTTCGCCCCCAAGACTGTGACTCTGAATGGACTCATGTACTTCGTCAGGTGAGTCCGCAGGGCCTGGTCCATTGCGTGTCTGGCATTTCTTACCAGGCCGTGCTAAGCACATTGTCGGTGTTCTCCCTGCCCCACTCACAAGGAAACTGAGGCCAAGCTGGGACTGGAGGCCTGGAGTTTCTGACTGCAGAGCGCTTACTCCGCCCCTCTTTTGAGAGAACTTTCTGTGGGCCTCCAGGTTTTCTTTTCTTTTCTTTTGTCTTTCTTCCTTCATTATTGGCCACTTCCAGGTTTTCTGTCATGGGATCCCAAGGGTGGTGGAGTAAGGTCCTTTCAGAGGAAGGGCCCAGCCGCAGCCTTGACTGCACCCGCTGGTCTTGATAATCTGTCTCGTCATGGCCAAATGCCCCCTCCTGACTGGCTCGTGGGCATCCAGCAGGGTGCTAGGAGCTCCCTGCATGCTGCACACGGCTTGTGCGTGTGTGCAAGCGTGTGCCTATACACATTCATGCACTGCTGCTCCCCTCCCCGGCCTAGAGCCTGCCTGAAGCTATGGGACCAGGAGGGAAGGGACAGGGTGACCCCTGGGTGCACGCCGTTAGCATCTCCACCCACAGCCTGAGCAGCGCTGCCCTTTGTCTGCCCCACCCCCCCAGTCGGGAGGCTTCTTCCGTGGCTTTCTGGCTGAGCACCAAAGGGAACAGAGGTAGACTCACTTGTCATGCAAGTGGCTGAGGGGCCCTGTCCCGATGGCCTGCTGTGAGAAAGCCCTGGAATCTCAGCCAGCTCTGGTCCTGTCATAAGACATCACCTGACCCAGCGCCCGGCTCTCCCTCCCCCAAGTGTGGAGATGTCTTCAAAGAGGGGGTGGAGATGGCTATAAATACAACTTACCAGAGTGCCAGCACTTGCGCTTCAGCCTGAGTGCCTCTGAGAATGTCCCATCCCTGTTCCCCACCCCCCGTGATCCTGGAGCAAGATGTGCCCAGGGTCTGGTCTGTGTGCATGAGACCCACCCGCTTTCCAGTTAAATCGTCCCATGTGGGAGCATTAGGGTGCCCCCCACCCCACCCACTGTTGGCCTTCGCAGGCAGCTTACCTAAGTCATCGGGGAGGTGGGAAGAGGCCACTTGTCCTAGCTGTGTGACCTGTGGGGAGGAGTGGGAGCCAGCCTCAGCCTGGGAATGGAGGCTGTTTGAGCAGGAAAGAGGAGGTCTGGGGGGAGGGCAAGAGCTGGGGCGTGGGGCTGGAGCCCCTGGAGTGTCAGTCCCAATGCCGCCCTGTTCGTGCACTTTGGCTCATCACAATCCGTGTAACCCCCCATCCGGGACCTGCCATCATCAGGGAGGTAGCCAGTGCTGTGTGGAGGCCACAGGCTCAACTGCCATCCTTGTGGCCAGTGAAGGGGACTGCTGTCCTAGGCCGCCTCCTCCAGCCATGCCCCCATCTGGGCCTCTGTGAAAGGTGACTCCTTGGCTGGGATGCGGTGGCCATCACAGAGGAAGGACTGGGGAGTGCTGTGGCCTGTACGTCTCTGCTGGGGTAAGGGGCTGGGGGGCTGCCTAGCAGGTTCCAGTATTTAATGACTGTCATCATACAGCCCACACACTGAGGATGGTTTTTACATTTTGAAATGGTTGGGGAAAAAACAAGACGAGTGATTTCACGACGTGTGAAAAGTTACACGCCCATAAATGAAGCTTCGCTGGAACACAGCCGGCGCCGTTGTTTACGTAGCGTCTCTGCTGGGTTTTTGCACAACCGTGGCAGCGTTGAACGCCTGTCTGCTCCTTTTGTCGACCCCCTGACCTGTGAGCATCATTATTATTATCATCACTACTGGTTTTTTTTCCTACCTCTGCTTTCTGAGGCTGTACCTTGGAGCTTTTTATTGTGGGGATAAGGAGGGTGTCAGACCAGGCTGAAGGATCTTGATCCCAACGGCAGGGGCATTGCCAGTATCTTCATTCCTGGAACTGTGTTTATCTTGTCATGCACCGAGGACACAACGGTGCACAGAACAGGGTTGGGGGCTCACGGTGACATTGAGGGTGGTGGCAAGGAGTGGTCTGGGGCACAGGGGGACAGGGGATGCAGTGGGGCAGAGGCCTGGCTGGCCAGCCACTGAAGGCTTTCCTGAAAAGGTGGCTCAAGTCCAAGTCAGAAGGACAAGTAGGGAACTGGGGAAGGGTTGGATGCCTGGGATGGGAAAGACTGATGCCTTCATGGTCTGAAGGACGCCATTGTGAGCACAGTGAGGAGTGGGTCAGTCATGATGGTGCTGGGCGGTGGGGAGTCTCAGAAGGGCTTCAAGCACCCGAGACCATGACCTTTGGGTTTGTAGAGCAAGGCTGGGTTCAAGCCTCAGAACCCAGACCAGGCAGGTGCAGGGGCCTAGAATTGGCCCCTAAGAGCTGGGGATGGGTCCCACCCAGCAAGGGAGCTGCCATGTAGCTTCAGGAAACACCAGGTCACTGGAGGAGTCAGTGGCCCAAAAGAGAGGGGCCTTGAGGACTCTCCTCCAGCCCTTTCCCCCCAGGAGTGCGTCCTCCTCACGCTGATCCGCTGTCCTCCCCTCACTCCCTCCGCAGGGACGACTCCGCCGAGGTGGACGTGTACGACCCTATGAGGAACGAATGGGACAAGATCCCGTCCATGAACCAGGTAAACTTGCAGACAGGGCAGTGTGCAAGCACGGGCAGGTCCTGCACTGCAGCCCAAGTGTCATCACAATGAGAGTTCGGGAGACAGTGTGTTGGGTCCTCTCTGGGTATTGCCTCAATGAATAGAAGGCTGGTGGTGTCGTCATTTTGCACTTGAGGCCCACTGAGAGATGTTAAATAGAATCCCAGAGTCACACAGCTTAGAGAGTTCATCCCTTCCACCAGTCTTTATCGAGCACCTACTTTGAGCCAGAGAACAGGAAGAGGTGGGCCAGCAAGCCATAGTTACTTGGAAAAGAGCCTTCCATAGAGGGACAGTGAGGACAAAGGCCCTGGGGCAGGGTGCACCTGGTGTGTTCATGGAACAGCCAGCAGCCCAGTGTGGCTGGAGCAGAGGGGATGAGGTCGGACAGGCGGTCTTTGAGGACTGACCCACCCTCAGCTGGTTCCTGAGGAACTGACCTTGAGAATACATTTATTAAGTGCCTGCCTTATGCTCTGAATGGGGCACCCAGACTGATTCTGCTGCTGCCTGATCAGGGTCTCCCCTTCTTTATCTGCTCACTGGGAAGAGAGATGCTGAGCCTGACAACGTGGTGGTGCTGGGGAGCCCAGTGGCTTTGGCACATGGGTGATCTTAGTCCCAGATACACATCTGTACCTGCCTATGTCCTTCTCTGACTGAACATTTTCAAACCTCCTCTTACAGTGTCTCTGCATGGCAGATGTCACAGTTTACATCACAGTTTGACATCCTTACATTCAGGAAATGGACCTTTACCTTTTCCCCACAAAAAGCTGCACACATTTATGCCAAGTTTGGGAAAGATGGACTAGTCCAGCCTCATAGTTCAGAGCCCAGGCTTTGGGTCGAGTCCCTGCTCTGCCTCTGTCAGCCATGTGAGCCTCGGCTTCCCTGTCCATAACATGGATGGGACAGTTGTCCCTATCCTAGAGGGCCTTTGCAGAGATCACGAGATAATGTGAGGAAGACCCAGGTGCGGCCTTCACACAGGGAGACCCAGTGCCGCTGTGGCCGCCCTGACCACCACAGGGTACGATCATGGCTTGTGACCCCTGGTGAGCCCCCTCTTTTCCTTGTTGGGGTGTAGGAAGGGTGTTGGCCTATCCTGGGAAGTCCACTGAGGACGGCTCCCCGTACTGCTTCCAGGATGTGCCCAGGCCACCCCTCTGAGGGGCTGACAGGGCAGGCCTTGTCTCCCATGGGGCCATGGGGGCTCTGCCCTTTCCTGGCAGCCGCCCTCCACTCACCCATTCCCTTGGCCCACAGGTGCACGTGGGTGGCAGCCTGGCCGTCCTTGGAGGGAAGCTCTACGTGTCTGGGGGGTACGACAATACGTTTGAACTTTCGGACGTGGTGGAGGCTTATGACCCAGAGACTCGGGCATGGAGTGTGGTGGGGCGGCTCCCAGAGCCCACCTTCTGGCACGGAAGCGTCAGCATCTTCCGCCAATTCATGCCCCAGACGCCCCTGGGCGGGCGTGGCTTTGAGCTGGACAGTGGCAGCAATGACGTGGACGCTGGCCACCGCCGGCTGCTGCCAAACCCTGCTGAGCTGCACTAGCCCCGGCCTGGCCCAGGCAGGGCCTCGGTGCAGGTGACCCGGCACCTCTTGGGGGGCAGTTCCCCCTTTGTGCACGAGGACAGATTGGGTTCACCAGGTGGAGCATGGGCTCTTGGGCAGCCGAGTGAGCCTCAGGATTGGTCGCCTGAAGGTTTCTGTGCATTTAGAACTTGAGTCACAGCTACTGGGGCCAAAGCTGGTTGCGAATGCCCCTCCCTCGGTCAAGGAAGAGCCACCTCTCTGGCAGCACATGTCCCAGAGATCACCTCCAACCTTCGGACCCCCAGCTCAGCCACGCAGCTGTGCCTGCTTGTTTCCACCTTGGGAGGGCCACTTGTCGGAGGCAGAGGGGAATGAGAGGGGTCCTCCCATGAGGCTCTCAGAATGGCCTGGGCCCGGAACACTGGGAGCCAGGCAGGTGATGGTTGCAGTGGGGTCCCAAGCTCCTCGTCTGGTACTGGGCATGCCCAGGCGGGCCAGCTCCCCAGATGTGCTGCCTCGCTCCTCACCAAGTCTCACCCACAACACCTCGCAGGGGTGGCCCTCCAGAGGTTGAGCACAGCATTGGGACCGAGTAGGAATGGGAGCCTGAAGGGGGTCCAGAGGGGTCTGCTGAGTTTTCTGTCACAGGAGGATGTTGCCGTAATGGATGCTGCATCCCCCCAGCCGATGCATCCTCACCCAGCGTGGAGACTCCCTGGACTTTTGTCTCAGCCAGGGAAGGGGAGGGTGAAAGCCTGCCACGCAAGGTGACAGCATCTCACCGGGAGGCCCTGCGAATCTGCCATTGACACCCAGGAAACAACCGCAAACACCCACAACCTTGCCCCGACAGCGAAGAGTCCCATTGCTTCCTAGGGACGCCCTGGGCAAGGTGGCCTTGGTGGTTGGGTCCTGGGTTTGAAGTGCTTGCAGTTTGACCCTCACAGAGGTGGGGAGGAGGGGGAGCGAGAATCAGGGTCAGCTTTGGTTTTCACATCTATGAAGTGCCATTGGCAGAGCTTTCTGTGGAAGCTCGGGCCCGGATCCAGAGGGGCTCCAGGGATCACCGTGACTTGGGGGACCCTGGCGCTCTCTCGGAAGCAAGAGGGTTTCGATGGATTGGGGGGGGGGGTGCGGGCCCTCAAGGCACCCGCAGTAGCCTTCCCCATGTTTTCTCACTACGTGACGTGAAAGCAAATGTTTAGTGAGTTGCCTTTTCCTAGTGAACTAGTTTATGGAGATATGTTCTCATCAGGGGAAAAATAGTTGCAGAGCCATCACTTACAAATTGTACTTAAAGCCCTTTAATTGGCTGGATGGCATGTGTGCTGCCTTAATTTTCCCGGGACACCTAGCAGGGCTGTCGGGGCCCCTGCCTTGCCTGCCTCGTGCTCCTGAGAGCTCCTGGTACGCTGCCATACAGTGCATGTCATCGCTACCGGGTTAGAGAATCTTGTTCTACAGCCTGGTTGGAGAAGCACCAGCTCATAGCAGCCCTTGTCCCTCCCTTTGGGTAGTCACTTGGGGTAACAAGTGAACACCTGCTGTGTGCCAGGCACTGGTGGGAGGGCTGGGGCTGATGGGGGACAGCACTGTCCAGGGCCGTGGGCCTCTGTGGGCCACAAGGACAGGCAGCTGGGCTTCCTGCGGCCTGCACCTGTCTGGCACTGCTGTGTGCTCTGTGCCCCAGACCTCCTCTCTTGGGTCCTGCCTTTACCACTCCTGATCCAGGTGAGCCCCTCTGCTCCTCTCAGCCCTAGAAAGATCCCTCCCACTGACCACTTAAATTTGCTGGGGCTGCTGAGCCCACCCAGAGGTTGTCCCTGCTTGATCTGTCGGCAGCAGGGGGGCTGCAGCTTTACAGGACTGATCAGGCCCTGAGCTCAGTGCCAGAGAATGCACCCTGTCTGGTCTGCACAGACACATTGGGTTGACTGTTGGGCTGGGGGTTGGGTACAGGGGGACAGGCTGAGAGGCCTCCAAAGTTAGGAGGTAGCCCTTGCTCTTATGGAAAAGATCTCCAGATTCCTGCTCCTCTCAGATGAGGGTTTTAGTGTGGGACAGCACAGGGAAGACGGGCCTGGGTTTGTGTCCTGTGTGTGCTCTCCTGAGCCACCCTTGTCTCCACCATCAGGACCCCGTCTTTTGGTTTGAAAGACCAAGGATGGAGAAGAGGAGGCTACAGCCTCAGCAACAGCAGGTCCCTCCAGCCTACGGACTCCAGCTGGGGTCCAGGACCAGGTCCCTCCCCGCCTCACTTCCCCTTGCCTGGGCTGTCACATACCTACCACTTATGGATGTCTTTACACTGACTTTGGGACAGATGCTGGGCCATGTGGGGATGGAACTGTTACTACGTGTTACATGTGCAGAACTTTTATCTGTCTACAAGACAACTTAAGTTATGAAAACTCAGTGACTGGTATTTAATGCTGATCTGCTACTGTAAGGTATTCTATATTTATATGACTTCAGAGACTTATGTGCTAAAAGGATACTCTCTCTCCAGTGTCCAACATCCACTTCCACCCCAGAGGATGGGGCAGATTTGTGTATTTATTTTTGTCTATTCTGTAGGCTGACATGTCCGGAACCCTGTTTAAGGTTTTAGAATGCCGTCAATCTTTTTTGAAATAAAACGTTTCCTATACATTTGGTGTCATTACCTTTATCCTCCTGCTGCTGTGTCTTCTAGGAATTCTTTGGCCAAGGCCAGACAGGAAGGTGAAGAGAGGTTTGAAAGAGCAGAGGGGAGGGTCCCCGAGCTGATGGGGGTGGAGAGAGAACAGAGTTTGGTGAGCCCAGGGTGCATGCTAAGGGTCTGAGGGGGGGTTACCTTTACAAAGCCCTCCAGGCCCATTTTCATGACAGATCATCTCAAAGTGTGAAGCAGTGGGGCCAACCCATTGCTCACTCAGGAGAGTGTGTTGCTGATAACACCAAGGCCACAGGTTCAGATCCTATATAGGGATGGCCGGTTAGCTTGCTGGGAGAGCGTGGTGCTGACAACACCAAGTCAAGGGTTAAGATCCCCTTACTGGTCATCTTTTTTTAAAAAAGTATGAAACAGTGGAAAGGAGGGAGGCCCAAGATGCGGAGGAGCGGGGGGTGATTCAATCTCTCCGACTTCCGGGGGGGCATCACCTCACCTGCCTGTTCCAAAGCTGGTCGCAACCCCTCCTGCAGGGCAGCGATGAGACCCCCACATGCCGTGGGATGAACCTCGGACCTGGGGAGATAGAGCCCTTAAAATAAAGGAGGATCCCAAAAAAGGCCAAGTCCACACAAGCCATCAAGTTCTGAATGTTTTTCACATCTGCAGAACCTGTCAACCTCAGGAGAGGCCAGTGCCTGGGCTGGTGTATTAGTCGTTTTGTGTTGCTATAACAGAAATAGCTGAGACTGGGTGATTTATAAAGAAAAAATGTATTGCTTACAGTTTCTGAGGCTGGCAAATCCAAAGTCCATCTGGTGGTGGCAACGGTGACCCAAATCTCACATTGCAAGATGGTGGAAGCAGAGAGAGCAGAGAGACAGACTCTTTTAAAGCCCTCAGAACCATGCCCCTGACCACCATTTATTCACTACTGCACGGTCCTACAATCCAATCACCTCTTCAAGGCTCCACCTTTCAATTACCATAATAGGATTTCCCACCCTCTTAACAGTCACAATGCGAGCTAAGTTTCTTTAAAAAAAAAAAAAAAAAATGCTGGTAAGGGGATCTTAACCCTTGGTTTGGTGTTGTCAGCACCACACTCTCCAAGTGAGCCATGGGCTGGCCCCTGGAGCTAAGTTTCTAATACATAAAACTTGGGGGACATAATTCAAGCTTCAGGGAGGTTTTTTTTTCCTTTTTGTCTTTTTTCGTGTCCGGCAACGGATCGCAACCCTCAGTGTCGCGCCCGTACTGGACCGGGACCAGCAACGGGATCGCAACCCTCGGTGTTGCTCCTGCACCTCGCTCAGCCAGTGAGCGGCCGGTCTGTATGTGGGATCCGAACCCTCGGCGGGAGCGCCGCCGCACTCCCAAGCGGCGCACTGTAGCAGTGCGCCACCGGGCGGCCCAAGCTTCAGGGAGTTTGGGGACAAAGTTCAATCCACTACATTTCGCCCCTGGCACCCCAAAGTCATGTCCTTTTCACATCCAGATACATTCATTTCATCCCCAAAGTCTTAACTTTTTTGAACTCAAAAGTCCAAAGTTCAAAATCTCATCTGTGAAATCATTACAAGTTATCTACTTCCAAGATACAATGTGGGACAAACGTAGGGTACATATTCCCATTCCAGAAGGGAGAAATAGGCCAAAAGAAAGGGGTAACAGGTCACAAAAAAGTCCAGAATCCAGCAGGGCAGGTGTTAAATCTCAAAGCTGGTGAATCAGGGCACCTTAACTCCATGTTTGATGTCCTAAGGCTCCTATGGCTTTCCTGGCTTCAGGTGATGCTTTAGCTCTCGCAGGCTGGTGTTGCACACTGGTAGCTCCACAGGTCTGAGGTCCTGCTCTCATGGCTCCACTGGACATGGCACTGTTGGGGCTTCTCTGCTGCAATTCTGACCCCACGCTTCACTCAGCATTGCTCTAGTGAAGGTTGTCTGCGGTGACTCCGCCCCTGTGACAGATCTCTTCCTGGGTCCCCAGACTTTTCCATACATCCTTTGAAATCTAGGTGGAGGCTCCAAAGCCTTCCCAGCTCTGGCATCCCAGGAGCCTACAGACTTAACATCACATGGACGCCGCCAAGGCTTCTGGCTTGTATTCTCAAAACTATGGGTCCAGCCACACCTGGGGCCAATTTAGCCGCAGCTGGGGTGCTGGTGCTGGAAGCAGCTTCCTGAGGTGGCCCTGAGCAGTGAGCCTGTGGAGGGCGCCTCAGGCCTGTTTCCCAATACCATTCTGTCTCCCTAGGCCTCTGGGCCTGAAATGGAAGGGTTGGCCCCAGAGGCTTCTGCAATGCCTTCAGGGCCTTCCCCCCACCCCCCCACCTCTCGATAATCCCTTTCTTTTGTACTAATCTTAGCTAATGGTCACTGGGCTGCGCCCCTGCATGCTCTCTGCCTCTCCACCACATGGCTGGTCTGCAAATTTTCTAAATTTTTATGCTCTGCTCCCCTTTTAAATTCTGGCTTCACGTCAAGCTTTTGCCGCCATAACTCAGCGTAGGCTCTTACAAGTAGCCATGCAGCTTCCTTAATGTTCTGCTGCTTAGAAATTTTTTCCACCAAATACTCCAGTTCACAACTCCTAAGTTCCAACTTCCACAAAGTCCTAGGGCATGGATACAGTGCAGCCAAGTTCCTTTCCAGTTCATAGCAAGGGTGACCTTTGCCCAAGTTTCCAAAAAACTCCTTATTTTTATCTGAGACCTCCTTAGAATGGTCTTTACAATCTATGTCTATGAGCATTCTGGTCACCACCATTTAACCAATCTCTAAAATTTTGCCTGGTTTTCTTATCTTCTAAACTTTCACTAGCATCTAGGCTTTTTCTAGCCTGTTCCTCCAAATTCCTCCAGCTTCTCATCGACACCCAGTTCCAAAGCCATTTCCACATTTTCAAGTATTTGTTATAAGCAACACCCCACTTCTCTGGTACCAATTTTCTGTATTAGTCCGTTTTGTATTGCTTATAACAAAATACACAGAACTGGGTAATTATAAAGAAAAACAAAATTTATTGCTTACAGTTTCTGAGGCTGGCAAGTCCAAAGTCCATCTGGTGGTGGCGACAGTGACCCAGGGGTCTCACATTGCAAGATGGTAGAAGCAGAGAGAGCACAGAGACAGACTCTCCTCTTCTTTTAAAGCCCTCAGAACCACGCCCCTGACCACCATTTTTAATCCATTTACTACTGCAGGGTCCTACAACCCAATCACCTCTTCAAGGCTCCACCTTTCAATTACCGTAAAAGAATTTCCCACCCTCTTAACAGTCACAGTGGGGGCTAAGTTTCTAATACATAAAACTTGGGGGACACAAATCAAGCTTCGGGGAGTTTTGCAGAGGACACGATTCAACCCACTACAGCTGGGAAGGGGAGCAAAATTTTGAGGTTAGAGTTTGCCATTTTATTTTTCTGTGTGGGTTTTGTTGTTTCCTTTTTTCATACCCTTCCCAGGAGATGTGAGGTTCACACCCTGTAAGTCAGGAACCCGGGGTGTCAGTTACTGCATTTGAATACTGTCTCTACCTCTGAGCTCCCAATGGTCAAGACATAAAAGGAAAGACAGTTGGATGGTTCTGAGTCTAAAATAGGAGAGACTTTTCCCTAGTGTCCAACCCCAAGAGGAATTTAGCAGGGAGGGATGGCATTCCAGGAAGCCTCTGGTGATGGAATTTAAGTAGTGCCTGGCATTGGGTCGTGACCATCATTACCACTGATTCAGAACTTACTCTCTGGAGGAAGCACTTCTAAAATGTGTCTAGATTCGCTGACATACCACCCATGGGGGGGTAGGGGGAGGGGGTCTGTCCTTCCCCTTGAATCTGGGGAGACTTTTTTTTTTTTTTTTAAAGATGACCGGTAAGGGGATCTTAACCCTTGACTTGGTGTTGTCAGCACCACGCTCACCCAGTGAGCAAACCGGCCATCCCTATGTGGGATACGAACCCGGGGCCTTGGTGTTATCAGCACCGCACTCTCCCGAGTGAGCCATGGCCGGCCCTGGGGAGACTTTTTTTAGTGATTGCCTTGACCCACAGGATATGGCAGAGATGATGCCACATGACTTCCAGGGGTAAGTCAAAAAAAGGCCTTGCAACTTTGGCTTTGATTTGGGAAATTTACACTTAGAACTGAGCCACCATGCTTCCAGGAAGCCCAAGCAGCCCATGGAGAGGAACCCAGGCCCCCAGCCAGCACCAGCATGCCAGGCATGTGAGTGAGCCATCTTGAGAGCACATCCCCAGCTCCCAGATAAACTTTGCAGTGGTTTATTATGCAGTAATAGGTAACTGAAACAGCGAACTTTCTTGTTGAATACTTGTCTGTGAAGCATGTAGTTACCAATTCCATTAAAAGGAAGAAAATGAACTTATTAGTAACTTGCCCAGGGTCACAGCTATAATTAAGAAGTTGGGAAAAAATTTAAATGCAGGCCATCTGTTCCCACACCCATGCACTTTTCCTCCATGACACACAGCGCCCCACAACTGGAGACCCAGGGACCACCAGGCCTCTCACCATTCCAGGCCTGGCCTCACCTGCACGCAAGGCCCCCTGGACACACAGACCAGACACGAAGACCAAGCTAGGGCGCTCCCGAGGAAAGGGCCCCCTCTGTGGGCAAGCTGCCAGCCAGGGCCCATAGCTTGCTTAGCCATGCCTGGCCCTTCTCAGGCCCCCAGCTGTACATGGCTACACTCTAACTGGACCTGGGTATTGACCCTGGCCAGCAAGGCCATCCTCATGGACCCTGGCCATGCCATTTGGACACAAGCTTAGAAACAAATTCTACCCCCACATGCTGGCATCACCTCAACTCTAAAATAGGCACACTACTGCTCTATCTGGCCAATACTCCCAGTTCTAAAATCCTGAAAGGAAGGACAGAAAATAGATGTGGAGAGCAGCCAGGGCCACAGGCTTGGCCCCCAAAGCTACCCCGTGAGGTCTCTCAGCTGAGGTCTCCCTGCTGAGCTCTGAGGCCCACAGAGGACTGGCCAGGACACCATTTCACCCTGCACTGGAGTCCAGGTCTGAGGCTCCAGGGTGGTAGAAATAGACCACTAGACAGGCTGAAACAAGTGAGTCCAAAACCATGTGGTTTATTGAGGACTGGGGCCAAGTGGGCTATGTGGGCAGGTGGGCTACGTGTCACAGTCCTCAGGGACAGCAGCCGTGATGATGAGTGAGGGCTCCAGGACTCCCGGGCTCGCAAAGCTCTCTTCTGCACACAGTCTCTGGCCAGGAAGCTGGGAGGCCAGGCCACCCTGGGCCAGGGACTCCACAATGACCTCGGCGGAGCCCACCTCCAGCTCTGCAGGTGGCTGGAGAGCCACCACCACCATCTTCTCATCCTCAATGACCAAGTTGCGGAGCTTGCGCTGCCGTGGGTTATAGTTCTCCACTCGATCGTGGATCTCCATGTGCCTCCGCAGATGGGCCTGGGGGGCGGGGGGAGGAGCTCAAGACCGGTGGGAGGGGCATGGATGGGGGGGCAGGGCCCAAGGCCTGGCCTACCTGCCGGGTGAACTTGTAGCCACACTCAGTGCACTCGAACTTCCTCACCCCCTTGTGCCGTCTGACATGCACACGCAACTGCTCCACAGCTGCAGAAGGGAAGGGACCACCCAGCATCAGGAGGGGTGGGAACATGGCAGGGATTATGCCCAGAGATGGGGGATCAGGAGTCCCAGGGCCCACAAGGAAATGCAGCAAGAGGCTGGGGCAGGGGCAGCCAGCATGGCGGCCGAGCAGTCGGCAGGGCAGGGGCTTCTTCTCTGTCCTTAGGGCCAGCAGTTTGCAGCTACTGCACAGGCCCTGCCCAGCCCTACAGCAGAGCCCCAAGGTCGCCACTGCACAGGGTCTTGGAGATCTGCCCCCTCTTCAGTCAAATCAGCTCCATGCTCAACACATGGGGACAGAAGAGATCTGCAGGCAAGAAGGTTCTGCTGCTACGAATAAGTGTTGGAAAACCACTGTTGCCCCTGACCTCTCCAACTCAAGTCGGGGAAGTGGAGATGGCCCGGCCCTCGGCTCCCCACAGGCTTGCCTGGGTACCTTTGAAGGTCTTGCCGCAGATCTGGCAGAAGTGAGGCCGGCCCTCCTGGTGGCGGCTGGCCACGTGTCTCAGAAGGGGCCCCTTCTCGGTGAAGCGCTGGTCACAGAACTCGCAGCTGAAGGGCCTCTCGCCTGTGTGAGTGCGGTTGTGCTTGTCCAAGCTGGCTGCAAGGATAAGGGGGGCTCGGTTGCTGGCCTCAGCCTGCGGGCAGGGAGGGGATGGGCCTGCCTCACCTTGGGTACGGAAGGTCTTGCCACAGAGGTGGCACTGGAAGGGCTTCTCGCCCGTGTGCGTGCGCAGATGCATGTTGAGATTGGCCTTCTGGGTGAAGGCGTGGCTGCAGAACTCACAGACATATGGCCTCTCGTTCCTGTTTGGGTGGGGACACAGGGCAGAGGCCATCACCCAGGGAAGCAGCCCCCTTCACTGCTACAGCTGAGAGCAGCCTGGCAGGAGGGCATGGGCACTGTCAGGAAGGGGCACCACCTTCATCCCAAGAGTAGAGGGAGATCTGTGGAGGGAAACTAAGAATTTGCCCCTGGAAGTACAAAGCCTTTTCTTGGCCTGAATCCCCCTCCCCCAGCCTCTCTCTCTCTGATAAACTCTAGCTCATCCCTCTGGTGTCACCACCCCAGAAAGACTGCAGGCGCTAGACTCAGGGTGGATGGCAAGCTCATCCATGTGAATGCTGGCAAACTCTGCCTTGTGGGGCTCCAGGAGAGCCTGAGTTGACCGCACCTGTGCTTGGCCTTGATGTGCATCTGCAAGCCATTGCGGCTTGAAGCCCGGTGCCCACACTCCTCGCACACAAACAACTTCTCGCCACGGTGCTTGAAAGCCTCGTGCAGCTGCAGCTCTGTCCGGGACAGGAAGCACTTGGCACAGGTGGGACACTGTGGGGCAGACGGGTTGGACAGAGGGATGGGGGCCAAGGTAAATACAGGGCAGGGCCGCCTGGGAGCCCCATGGGTCCCCTATGCCCCCCAAATGGTAGAAACCACAGAGCCTCCTGCCCATCCTTAGTCCAGCCACAGCCACCTCACTCTTGCTTGGCCCAGTGTCACAGTGCGCCCAGCCCCAGCCCTGTCTGGCACTTACTGCATGGGGCTTGGGGGCTCCATGCAGCTTGATCATGTGGCTCTGCAAGTCCTTCTTCTGCATGAACTGCTGGGAGCAGGAGGAACACTGAAAAATAGGCCGACAGTCACCTCCAGGGCAGCCTGCACCAACAGAACCCTGGCCACCCACCCCCAGCCATCAGAGTGCAGGGAGGCGAGGGCAGGACCCAGCACAAGATGCAGGGTGTTTCCCTGCTCTGGCATGAAGGATGGCACCAGGGAGGGCCCCAGTGCTCAGCAGGATGCTGAGCCTGCCCTCTGTGGAAAAAAACAAGGGCCCATAAAGGATCCTAGAGTGAGGCTGCACCCGAGTGGGCCTACCCACAACTATGGGGGCACTGGACTGGCAGGGAAGGCACGCTCCTGGACAACAATAAGGGGGAGGCGCCTGACACCACCCCACGCAGAGGGCTCAGTGGGAGGGATCCTGGGGCTACTCCACCCAGCCCGTGGCCCTGAGGACAGGCCAAGCCTGACCTTGTAGGGCATCTCCCCCGTGTGGGACACCATGTGCACCCGCAGCTCCATCCTCCGGCGGAAGGTCTCCTGGCACACGGAGCACGTGAAGACCTGGCAGTGTGAGGGGCAAGCAGGGCCGGCATCAGGGGGGGCCTCTGCCCTCTACAGCAGCCTCTGCCGGGGCTTCCACTCGCTGCTGGGAAGTCTGCCTGATGGGGGGGACGCTAGGGTGGGAGAGGGCAACACGTAACCTGCCTGCCCTGACCGTCACTGAGCACGGCAAACCCACCACACACCAGGCCAAGACAGGCTGTGGGGGCAGGGGCCAAGCGGCCTCACCCACAGTCCCTGGCCCCCACTGCCACCAACAAACTCTAGGAAGAGAAGGGCAGAGTTTAGCCAGACCCCACGACATGGGCCAGCAGTGGGTTGGGGAGACGTAGCCAGGAGAACTCTCCCAGTAGCCACCCCCAGAGTAAGGCTCCCCTTCGCCAAAGCTCAAGGTGGAGCTATGCCAGAGGCCTGGGAAGACAAACTCAAAATGCCTCCCACAGAGTCCCTCCTGGGCTTGTCCCTTACACCCTTGTGACCTGTGTCCCCACCTGCACCAGGGTGTAGACTTAATGATATCCAGGGACCCTGCAGCTCTCTTGAGTTTACAGTCCCCATCTGAGACTGTCTCCTGGGGGCCCTTCCCGAATGGCATGAAGACAGAGGCCCGGGTGCCCCTGCCCACAAGTACCTGGGCCAGTTCCCAAGTACCTGTTCCGAGCGGTTCATGCAATTCCGGGCTTCATGCTCCAGGAGGTTCTCCTTCCGAAAGTAACACTTCCCACATTTGGGACACTCAAAGGGTTTCTCCCCAGTGTGTTTCCTGCCGGGAGGAGAAGCCACAGGGGGTGCAGGGCTGAGAGGATTTCCCAGCTCTCTGCACCCGGGGTCCCTCCGGCTCCCACCGCTGGCCAGTGCTGTGCTTCACAGCAGGGAGCAGAGATGTCCTGAGGCTGGCCCATGCTCACCACGTGGGCTTGGAGAGACAATGGCTGGTGAACATGCAGGGGCAAGCCAGATATTCCCCTCTAGCATGGAGAGTTAGCAAGGGACAGTGCCACAGCCAGAAGCCCACACAGGTGCGAGCTAGAGGTGACACCCCAGAGCCCTTAAGCAGTCCATGAGCCCCACCTCCGCCAACCTCCTAAGTGGCGGCCATGAGGCTAACTGGCACAGAGGCCAACAGGAAGACCTGGCCAAAGGCTGGCGTTCTCTCTGAAGGCACTAATGACCCCCAGGGCCTGCCTACCTGGAGAAATAACTCAGTGTTCCCAGAGCTTCAGGGGCCTCTACCTTCAAAATCGTGGCCAGAATGTGACCACTTTGCCTCACTCCGCTGCTGCCACCTAATGGGACAGCAGCATCTCCTGGACTGCCCTGTGAGCCCCCCACCTGGTCTCCCTGCTCCATACCTGTCTCCCCGGCAGGCTTAAGTTCAGTAGCCAGAGGGACCCTTTAAACATAAGTCAGGCCTCAGCACCTCTTGGCTCACAAACCCCCAGTGCTCCCCGGTTCACTCTGAGAAGAGGCCCAGGAGGCCCCTTGAGGGTGCAGGCGGCCCTCCCTGAGCTGGCCCACCCTCCTGCTGTCCATCAGCCTGTGGGGCTCCCTCCTCCCCAGAGCCCTCTCCCCAGTCATCTGCTCAGTTAACTTCCTCACCTCCTGTAAGTCCAAAGACTCAAACCTCACCTTCTCAGTAAGTCTCCCTAAACCTTTTTGGTTTTTTTGGTGGCTGGCCAGCATGGGGACGCACATCCTTGACGTTGGTGTTATAACACTGCGCTCTAACTGACTGTGCTAACAAGCCACCCCACCACACTTATTGAAAAGTGCAACCTGATCGCACCCTGGACTCCCAACCTCTTGGACCTGCTCTTTCTTTTTTCCATAACACTTCTCAGCTTTCATGCTGCAGACTTCCCTATTTGTTACGTTTTTTATCTGCATCACCCTGCAGGAAGGCAAGCTCCACAAGGGACCTTTGTTTTGTTCACTGATGTACCCCGAGAGCTCACAACAGTCTTGTCAGCTAACTGGCAAACAGTTTGTTGAATGAATGAAACTAAATGAACCCTAAGCTCAGAGCCCGTGTACGGCACTGGGAGAGCTGTTACAACCTGCCAGAGGCCAAGGGTTTCTCTCATCCTCTGCTACTGTCCTCATGCCCCACTGCAATGACCTCATGAAGCCATCACTCTCTTCCCAGTTCTCAGGGCCAATCCAGCAACCAGAAGTACAAGGTAGGGACAGAGATGAAGTCTTATGCTGGCAGAGTGCCCGGGAGCATCCAGGCAGAACACGTACTACCCCAGGGTTCCCCACACACTAGGATTACTCAAAGACTCCACTGGTAGCAGCTGTTCCAAGCAAAGCACACAGGTATAGCAAGCAGGTGTCACCCGCAGCTCCAACTCCAGATGATTGCTTGTGGCTTCTGAGTGTCTGACTGAGAACAGGTATGTGGCCCAATCTGACTTGGCAAGATGGCACACCATGATGAACTAGTGATGTCTTGGGCTGGGAAGCAGGAGGATTGGAAGGCATGTCACCTAGCTGCCATCCCTAGAGGCCTTGCGGGAACTCTACAGCAGCGCTACCCAAGAGAACTCTCTGTGATGATGGAAATGTTCTATATCTGCACTGTCCAATTCAGTAGCCAGGAGCCACATGGCTACTGAGCACTTGAGATATGGCTAGTGCATCTGAGGAACTGAATGTTTAATTTTCATTAATTGTAAGTTAAAATAGTCCCATGGGACTCCTGGTTAACTTACTGGATACTGCTGCTTCAGACAAAAGATCTTTTATGCTCCATTGACATCCCAGAGCTAACATTTCCCTGGAAACGCAGGTAGCACCAACCCAAAAGCTAAACATCTCGGCCCAAAGCCCAAGCTGCCAGGCCTTAGAAATACCTAAGGTCAGTCGGGCCTCAGCTTCAGCACAGAGGCCACAGGCTCTCTCATCCCCTTAGCAGAAGCCAGCTGGAGGTCAAGGTCCACAGTGGGTGGAACCTGTTGACAAGGTGTCCACAAACCCATCTCCTACCAGAAAACTCACAGTAGGAGGGGAGGAAGAAGAGTCTGAGCCAGAGTTAGCTTCTTAGTCCCTGATGATCAGAGGTGTGCCAACTCCAGGCACTATGTGGGTCTGAGGTGAAGCCCCCTACACATCCCAGAAGTGGGGAGCACAGGTCCCCTCCCCCAACATGGGAATGGCAGACAGAAAAAGAAAATAGAAAAACAGAAGTTTTACCTGTTATGAACTTTTAGGTAATATTTGCTGAGGAACTTTTTATGACATGTAGGGCATTCAACCGGCACCGCTGTACCTTTTCTGTTCTCAGCGGGCTCAACGGTGAGGGAGCCTGTGCTCAGGGCTGGCTCAGTAGCACAGGGCTTTCTCATTATGTTTGGTTTCCTTCTGGACAGCACAGTCTCGGGCTCAGAAATGTAATCACCATCCCCATCGTCCTCAACTTGAACCACCACTTCCCACTAGAGCAGAAGAGGAAATGGGAGGGGGTGGGTCACCAAATTAATCAGCAGTGTGGGGACCCAGCTTCAGTTCCATCCCAACCCCCAAATTAGAGCAGTCCCTTCATCAGGGACTGTTCCCTTCAGGGACCCAGGGCAGACAGCATCTGAATCTTCGATTTGGAGGGCAGTGGTTCTATTTGAGAGAAACTGGAAGGCTAAGGGCCAGCCTGGGGCTCACTCAGGAGAGTGTGGTGCTGATAATACCAAGGCCGCGGGTTCGGATCCCTACATAGGGATGGCCAGTTAGCTCACTGGGTGAGCGTGGTGCTGACAACACCAAGTCAAGGGTTAAGATCCCCTTACCCTCATCATTTTTTTTTTTTTTTTCTTTTTTGGTCTTTGTGTCTTCACGTGGACTTCTTATAAACACTACTTACTGAATTTAGAGACCACCCTAATCCAGTATAACTTCATCTTAATTAATTATGTCCGCAAAGACCCTATTTCCAAATAAGGTCACATTCTGAGGTTTCCAGGTGGACAGCTGGAATTTGGGGAGAGCACTATTCAACCCAGTACAACCAGTTTACAGATGGGAACAGTATTGCAGGCTGAGATGATCAAAGAAAGCTTCAAAGAGAAACTGGCTCTCTGAGGTTGACCACTACTTGCACAGGCAGATAGAAAAGATATTCCGTTTTGAAAAAACTGCTTTAGCCAACACCCAAAGGTGGGGAGCCAGTGACCCCTATAAAACTTCTCCAGTAGGTTCAAGGTTGTGCCTGATCATATCTTTTCTCAAGGCCCTTAAGACTTCTCCCATTTGCTCGCCCACATAAAACAATCTGGCAGCAGAGGAGAAATACTCAACGCCTTTAAACAGAACCCATCAGCTAATAATGCTGAAAGCAATCATTTGTCACTTTGAAAGTATGAGTTGACATGTTTCTCGAGCAGCTTTCTATACTAGCAGTAATATTGGGCTAGTAAACTGCTTGCTTCTCTCTTTCTTTCTCTCTCTCTCATCTGTGCATTTCCAAATAATTGAATGTCCTGTCATGTCTGGGAGTATTAAACACCCAGGTGGCCCATGCAAATGGGAGCAGGTACATTATTAGTTTCAAAAGGCAAGGGGGGCCGAACCTGTGGCTCACTCGGGAGAGTGTGGTGCTGGGAGAGCCGAGGCCGCAGGTTCGGATCCTATATAGGGATGGCCAGGGTGCTCACTGGCTGAGCGCGGTGCGGATGACACCAAGCCAAGGGATGATCCCCTTACTGGTCACAA